CTGCTGCTACTACTATTAAATGATAGGGCTAGCAGCTGTTAGGCCTTAATTAGTTGATGGCCTGAAAGTGGTGGCTGAGTTACGTGGTGGCTGAGTTACGTGGTGGCCTAGTCAGAAAATAAAAGAAACTAGTGGAGTCTGTAGGAAACTTAATAAATCCAGCCCTGTGCAAAGTTTAGTTATAGGAAAGGAGAGAAAAGATTGTAACACAGCAGTTATGTAGAAAACAGTTTAAGGCTGCAGTGAGGTAAGAACAATAGAATCCCAAAGAGGGAGAGGTCTCGTGTGCTCATGTACGCAGAGATACTGAAGGACTGGAAGGACGTAGAGAGGACAGGGGAGGTATTCATTCCATTCGGGCCCCTGGCAAGTTCTCTGCTGCTCCTTCCCTCCCAGGAGTCCAGGGTGGCGGCTGTGGAAGCTGACAAGGCAGGTGACCCTGCCCTGGTTTCCCTGAGCTTTGGTTCTCTCATTCTCTGAGGAGTTTGTGCTGTTGGCTGCCGTTCCTGTCTCTCCCACCTGGGCTTGCAGCCCACTCTGGATTTATTAGTTTGGATGGGTGGAACTTGCTTTACACCAGGGAAGCATTCCTTGGAAACATGGTTTGAGACTCGATTTGGGTAAATTGAACCCAGTCCTCACTGCCCTGGAGTTACTCAAGATTCAAAGAAGCCTTTTTATGAACCTATGAGTCCTTTCCTGACCTAGGTCTGTCCAGGTGTTTTTATGTAGTCCTTGGGTATGTGTGTGTTTGGGGAGAGCTTCCTTAAAGTCAGGAGAACCTGGGGTTTTGTTCTTTGGTTTCTCCTGTCACCTAGACCTGACAAGAATCAGGTTTAGGCTGGCCAGTTGGCTCATTCAGTTGGACTATGGTGTTAACAACACCAAGGTCAAGGGTGTTATTAATGGCCAACCACCAAAAAAAAAGGTCAGGTTCGGCATCGAAGGGCTCTCAGATCTCTATTTGGCTGCACCTGCAGGCACCTGGTTTTCTCTGGGCCAGGATTCCTGCTGGTTTCGTGAGCCAGGAGGAATGGCTGTGACAGGGATGTGAGTACTGTGAGATAGCTGAGGGAGGGACCCTACCCCTGTGCCTCCTAGCTCCCAGGAACCCACTGTTTTCACCACCAGCTTTGCCCTGTCACTCACTCCCTCTTGGGTTCCAGAGGCCTAATTCCTACCCCTCCCAAAACTTTTCACAGGCATTAGGCCATCTCTTAAAACGACCCTGCAAAGAAGGCAAGGTAGGTATTTTTATCCCCATTTTACAGAAGAAGGAAAAGAGGCTCAGAGGTTTGCTAATGCCCCAGAGTCAGCGAGCTAAGTGGCAGAGTGAGCACAAGAACCAAAGTTTCTTTTATTCTTGTTCCACGTCTCTGCCCGCTGCCTCTCCTGAATTATCTGCTCTTTTGGACTTGGGTTTCACTACACTGAGCCTGCATTCAGGTCGTTTTCCATGGGAAGGCAGACTGTTTCTCTGAAAAAATTCATTTCAGCTGTGGTGCACTTGTACTATGCTACCAGGTTTCTGCTGGGCACGTCTAGAACACCAGACAACTACCTTAGAGATCAATAGGCCCAAATACTTAATTTTACACATATGAGCATTGATGACCAGAGGAGTTAAGCCACTTGCCCAAGATCACACAGCCAGTTTTCAGCAAGACCAGTTGTGCAGATTCCTGTTCAGTGCCCCTTGACTTCCAGCAGGCCGGTGATCCTGCTCTGTAGGGCCCTTGATTCTGTTCGCCGAGGAGACGGAGGTAGAGACAGGGGAAAGCAGGAAGCAGTTGGTTTGTGTCAGTCACAGCTGCTCATTTGGCTGCGCCTGCCTCTTGTCCCTTCACCCTGTTTGTCTCTTCATCTCTCCATCTTCCCAGCCCTAAGCCAGCAGGCTTGTCTGCCTTCTGGCCAGAGGGCCAGGGTCTGTGAGCCAGGGGTTCGCCTCTCTTAGTTGTAATGAGGCAGAAGTGTCCTTGCCACCCCAGGAGAGAGCTTGCAAGGGTGGGCTGGAGAGAAGGGACTCCAAAGGGTGGAGATTTGGGGTGGGAGCAGTAGAACTGGATTAATTCTGCAGAACCAGGGGATGGGGAAATAAAGCATGTTTTAGAAAGACTTTTCTTTTGAAAAGACAGGCCCGTTTCTGGTCTGCTTCTCATTTTCCTCTTGGGAGAGAAGAGAAGGTCTGCTTTAGAGGATGATGGGGACAGGCATGAGCTTGGGTTGTTTGAGCTTGGATTATCTGCCCACAGGCCAAGTCTACCCCCCATGTGATTTTGTAAATAAAGTTTTATTGGAACACAGCCCATTCATCTTTCATGTATTGTCTGTGGCTGCTTTTGCACTACAAGGATAGAGTTGAGTTGTCCCAACAGAGACCAGATGGCCCTCAAAGCCTAAAATATTTACTCTCTGGCCCTTTGCAGACCCCTGTTCTAGCAGAGCAGTACTTCCTGGGTTCTCCAGGTCCAGGTATGGTACCTCCACTTGGCTTACTAAAAGAGATCAGCATTTCCAAAAGGTTTCCTTATGAAGAACCCAAAAAGAAACCAAAAAGGGAGGTAAACAAAGTGATACAGCAAGTTGAGGAGGAATGAGACCAGGATAGCCTCTTAGCTGGGGCAGTGCGGGGCTGTGTAGTGCCAGCTGGGGCACTGCGCCTTCCCAGGGGTGTGGCGTGGCCTTGCTTTGGGGCAGCTCAGTTGGCCTCATCTCCAGGGTACAGTAGTAGGAAGTTGGAGCCTCGGCAAGATGTGGACCCCAGGCAATGAAGCCTCACATTCTGAACTCAGACCTTCTTGGCTGCACTGGCTTTAAGCCTTGGAGGTCCTAGTGCATCTACCTTGTCTCAGCCCTTCCAGTGCTTAAAAGCCAGGCCAGCATGGCTCCTGCTGCCCGAGAAGGCTGCAGACTGCCAGGTCTGGTGAAAGGCTCTGGCCTCGGACCCAGCCCTGTCTGTCTTTGGGTGAAGTCCCCAGGAGTTCCTCTACACCCGACTCCAGCTGACCTGGTGTATGAGAGTGACTGGGGAAATATCTCTGACCGGGTACCGGCATTTCCTTGGCACATCCAGTGTTGAACACCATCTAGTTCTTATCCTTGCAGCCCCAGGAGCATGATTTTCCTGTTGCCCCCAGACCTGATTGAGCCCATGGAGCCAGGCTCATGTTAACCACATTCATGGGAGATCTTGCCAGTGGTGGCTAGACATTATTGAACACTGATTATGTACTAGGCACTGTGCTGGGCACTATTACCTATTACCTCATTTAATCCTCACAGAAACCCAGAAGGTAAGTATAAGGCTCCATCCCAATTTTTACAAGTTTGGGAATAGGCCCAGAGAGGTTTAAGTAGCTTCCTCAAAGGGGCAGAGTCTGGATTTGAACCCAGGCAGTTAGACTCCAGAGGCTTCACTAAACCTCTCCACAGACCCTGCTTTGTTGGTTTACCATGAGAACTGGAAGGGCCAGGATTCCCAGTTCTACATGAGAAGCCAGCTTGCAATTGGAAGGTGGCTCATTTAGGTGATTTAAATGGTGAGTGGTATGAAGCTCTGATCACCTGAGGTCTGTGTCCCTGCAAGTGATGGACACTGTGCCAGCTGTGCAGCCTTAAGCAAGTGACTTAACCTCTCTGCTTCGGTTTCTTCATCTGCAAAATGGAGGGAATAATAGCACCAATTACTGTAGGTTTGTTATGAAAATACATGAGTCACTCTGTGTAAAGTTCTTAGCAAGACGCTTGGCAGTCAGTAAGTGCCGTGTGGATGTTTGCTCTGTTTGTTGTTACTCTCTGTAAATGGGTCAGCAGCTCTCTCGGCCAGTGCTAAGTGGGCAGTGCAAGGGTTTGTCTCTCCCACTTGTGTCTCAACATGTCCTTGTAATTGTCCCCAGTGCAGCCAGCGCTCTGCTCCTCTGGAGGTGATGAGCAGCCCAGCATGGAAAGTACCAGCCTTGGGATGCCCCTAGACCTGGTTCCATCTCTGGCTCATGGGAAATTGGGCTAGTTACTTCCCCTATCCAAAAGATTCCTCCCCTGTAAAATGGGGCTAAAAACACATACCTATTTCATGGGGTTGTCATGGTATAGGTAGACAGTATCAATGCTCTTTACACGGCCACTCTGATTTTCTAGAATTGTTCTTACCATGATTAGGCCAAGAGCTTTCCGTCTCATTATAAGGTTAATGGCATCATATCTCATGATCATGTTCTTTTTTGGTGCTTTGATTTTGCTCCTCCTTCTTGGCAGGAGGACAACTTTTAACCCCATTTCACAGATGAGGAAACTGAGACCCAGGTTGAACACCACTGTCTGAGTCTGGAATAGAGACCTCATTGCTTCCGGTCACTAAAGGTCCTTGTCCTTCTGGATTGGGGTTGGGGAGTGAGGCTCCCTTCCATTCTGTTAGAGTCTGCCCACCTTCCTCAGTGGGTGGGGCTGTGGCAAGGGCTGAACAAGACATCAGATCCAGTGGACATGGTGCCCCAGGACCTGGAGGCTGGCTTTAGGTGCTCCAACCCTGACATTTGATGTTCCGAGTCCAAGCTGCTGAGCCTGCTGGCCTGTGAGGACCTTTGGAACCACTAGGCCCTGTGGGGCCAGCCACCCACATGGACAGAGAGGAAGGGCCAGGCTCCTCCTCCAGGGTCATGATAACCCATGGGTGGGTTGTGTAGGATTCTTTGTGTTCCAGAGGATTCCTGCCTTTCGGCAGACACCTCATTATCCCCAACCCAGCCAGCTGTGTCCCAGTGCCTCTGCAATCACATAGGCCCATAGCCAGCCCAGGGCCATGAAGTCACTCCTCTCCCCTCCCCCGCCTTCCGCCCTGTGGCCGTGTGCTGGCCGCTGCTGACCACGACCACAAGGAGCCTGCAGCCACTCGCTGGGTGGAGCTCCTGCCTGCCTAACGTTCTCTCTCCTCCTCTGGTTCTCTTCTGCTGCTGTTTGTTCTCGGGGGACTCGGAAGTGTGGCTGTCCAGCTGGACTGAGTCTCCCAAGAAGGACTTGACAGGTACTGCCCAGTGTGCATGTGAGTGCATGCGTGAACATGTGTGTCCTGGGCACACATGTGTGGGAATGGGTGCTCACAGGCCGCTTTCTGCATGCTTCCCAGTGATTTGTAGCAGCCCTTTATCAGCATGTCCTCCGCTTGCTGTGCCCTCTGCCTTCCAGGTCGACCTTTTTTAGGTCTCAGATCCAGCCTTGGAGCCCTTTGATGAGTTCACAGTGTGTAAGCAAGTGTGCCGTGCACCCAGAGTGTGTGGTTTGAATCCCAGCCCTGCCACGTCCTGGCTGCGCTGCCTTGGGCAGGTTACGCAACCTCCCTAAGGGGGTGTATTGCCTCCTGGGGGAGCTCGAACACAGAGCATGCTCGAACAGTGATGGGGCTACCATCGTCTTCAGTGCTGTCTCGTTGGCCAAGCCTGGCACACAGAGCATGCTCGAACAGTGATGGGGCTACCATCGTCTTCAGTGCTGTCTCGTTGGCCATCCCAGTGAGATGGGCCAACCAAAGATGATTCATCTCACTTCAGGCAGTTAAACCGAGGCGATAGGGAGCTCCCAGATGCCCAAGCCTGGTTTCCAGTGATCTCACTTGGGAGTTGGAGATTTGGGCCAGGGGGTGGACAGTCTCCTGATTGTGACTGAAGGTGGGGCACAGCCCCCATGCCCCACAGATACAGAGCTTGGAGCTGCCTCCGGCCTCAAGGGGGCTCCTGGCGGAGATGGGCCTCAGCATCTTGGACCTTGGCCTATGTCCAGGAAGAGCTGGACCAGGGGTCAGGGACTTGCCTTTAGCCTTTGGTATTACTGAACAATGGCAGAAAAACCCAGAGAGCGGGGTTCTCAGCTCCTAGAGGGAGCTAATGGGGGGAGGGATGGAATTTCCAGAAGTGTCTCCTATAGGGCCTCTACATTTCTGAGAGTATTGCCCACCCCCATAACTCCAACCCAAAACCTGAGAGCCAAAAAAAAAAAAAGAAACCATACCTGAGAGCAGAGGTTCAGGCTGGGAGATTGAGGGACAAGGCAGAGGATCAGAGGTCAGGGGGGGCTGGGCCAGTCCCAGGGGTTAAAGCCCAAAGCTCAGCCCCTCCCTGCCACAGATGTGGGCAGGGAGTGGGAGGTGGATGTCCTGGGAGAGGGGCCAGAGGAGAAGAGAAGGTAGAGGGTGGGAGGGCAGAGGGCCCCCTCCCTTCCCATATGATCGATCGTCCTTCTGCCGTTCTCTGTGACGAGGGCCTGGGCCTGAGCTAATCACTGGGCTCCTGTCCCTTTTTCCCCTCTCCATAAGCCAGTAAGCTGGAGCCCACTTGGCCCACAGCAATACATTTTATTCACCAGACGTATAGCTGAGAGGCCGGCAGGCCTAGTCCAGCCTGGGAGGAACGAGTTGTGAGGGTCTGGAAGGGCCTTGGTGGGATGCCCAGGGCTGGGGGGGTCATGGGGAGCCTGAGGCAGAGGCCACCACAGGGCCCGGCTTCTCAGGATGAGCCTAGCTGTTTGGAGCAGGAGACCCAGGGGAGGCAGCGTAGACTGGGGAGAAACCCAGCTACACTGGGAGTCCCAGGCCAGAGTCTTGGGCAAGTCTCCAGGTCTCTCTGGGCCTCGGTTTCTTCATCTGGAAGGCTGGAGAGTTCTATGAGACAGGAAACTTGGAGGTAAGGGGCTGTGCTGGAGATCCTTGTAGATAAGGGTCCTTGGCCCGCTAGCCTGGCATCACCCCAGAGCGGTCCCAGGGACCTCTGATCTGAATCCCCAGCTGGCAGGTGCCCACTGTCTGCCAGGAGGTGGGGTCTGGGAGAGGCATGTTGCAGGGACACAGTCCTGGACCTCCCTTCCTCACCCTTCTGGTGTCTGTGGCCCTAATTCACTCTGAGCTGCCTGCTGTTTCTGAGGCTGCGGAGGAGCTAAAAGCTCTTCAGTTCTTCCCCAAATCTCCCATTCCCTCGGCTTGCTTTATAAGTGACTATATACAGTTTACATAGGACTTTAACCCCTATCACTTCATTCCCTGCTTGGAACAACCCTGTGAGGTGGGTGCTGTTACTGTTCCTGTTTATAGATGGGGAGCTAAAGCTCAGAGAGGTTGAGCGTCCTCCTTAGGATAACAGAGCTAGGAAGGGCAAAGCAGGACTGGACCTCAGACCCTCAGACTCTCTAAGGTTTTGCATCGTGAATCTCAGGTAATTATTGTGTCCAGTGTCACATCCTATGGCACCAGTCCTGGAGTGTCAATTCTCATCAGGGAGATACATGTCTAAAGCATGGGGTCTGGATGGGGAGCAATGCCCAAGAAAAAGTCCAGGAGAGAACAGGAGAGAGCACCATGGCTGGAGTGATAAGAGAGCCTTCTGGAGGGGCAGAGATGCTTGAGTAGAATTGGAATTGGTGGAGAGAAGAGAGAAAGCATTCCAGGCATGGGGCCACAGCTAAAGCAAAGGCTTGGGAAGTCAGAACCTGGACAGAACAGTGTCATTGGCACACAGCAGGTGCTCAATACATGTTTATTGAATCACAAATGTTGCATGGAATTAGGGGGGAGGGGAGGGAACTTGGGGAGCTTAGATTGGCAAGAAAGATTAGGTTTGAATTTGGCCTTTATTCTTTAGGCAACAGGGAGCCACTGACGATGTTAAAGTGGGGGACTGACTTGGCAAAAGTCTAGTTGAGACGTTTAAGTTGGCAGCTGGGATCAGGTAGGAGCCAGGGTTCCATCCAGGTGGTAATTGGAGGAATGTAGGTGTGAGGCAAGGATGGGGCAGCGGTTCAGGGGACCCCCAGGGCCCCCAAAAGGTCCAGCCAAGGGCTCCATAATAAAGCACAAGGGTCCACCCCTGGATGAGATTCATGCAAAGTCCCCTTCCAACCCAGGAGAGGCTATACTCTCTAGAAGGGGTACACCCTTCTCCATGCTCCTGCCAAACACTTTTCGTCTGAAGACAAGAGGCTGCCTCCACTGCCCCTCCCCTCCCTCAAGCAGACTCCTCCAGCCCCCAATTTTCCAGGCCTTGCCTGGGAGGAGATCCAGAGCAGCCTTTCTGAGATGACATCACCACCCACCGGCTGCCCGGCCTGCCGAGTGGTTTCTCATCTGGATACCTGCTCCCAGCTCCCACTCACCCTGCGGTCCTGGGCGGGCAACACCCTAAGAAGCAGATGCCAGAGAGGGAGCTGGGAGCCTGTGTGTGCTGGGGGAGGGGAGGCAGCCAGAAGGACAGAGTGTTTGTTATCCATGTGTTGTCGTCCCACAGCCGTTGGAGTGGCCTCCAAGAAGTGCCACAGCCTGTTTGTGCTCTATAAAGCCTGGAGAACGTTTTCTTAACTTTTCTACCTGCATCCCAGAGTGTCAGCCTTCAGAAAGTTCAGGCCAATTTTCCAAGAAGGCTGTGGGGGGAGGGGGTGCGGGCGTATGGATTTTCCTCCGTTTTGAAATCTTGTCTCAGATTTTCTTGGCTTGGATTAAAATGAGCTGATGTCTCTCCACTCCCCAGCACTCCTCATTAGCGTCTTGCCACAAACCCAGAGCTCCTTGCTTCTCCTTACCTCTGTTTCCTCATCTCCCCTTTCTCCCTTTGCACTCACTTGTCTAGTTTTCCCATGTTTCAGAGGTGAGGCCCTGCCGGTTTATCCACAGTGGAACCCAGAGCTCCTTGCTTCTCCTTACCTCTGTTTCCTCATCTCCCCTTTCTCCCTTCGCACTCACTTGTCTAGTTTTCCCATGTTTCAGAGGTGAGGCCCTGCCGGTTTATCCACAGTGACTCAACAAACTAAATCACCCTGTTCATCTGCCCATTCATTTCATCATTCATTCATTTCACAAACATCTGTTGAGTACCTGCCACCTAATGGGCACTGTGGTCTGGTCAGCAGGGGTCGCAAAAGTCAACAGGAAACCCACACTCCAGTCTTTATGAAGCACCAGCTGTGTATCTGGGAATATAAGGGGAATGAGGCAGGCCCTTCCCTGGAGACCAGGCACCAGCGGAAATCAAGGTCATCAGCGGTGGTGTCGGGTGTGCTTGGGCTTAATCCCAGCTGTGTGACTTGGAAAATTGCTTACCCTCGTGAGACTCAGTTTGCCCATGTGTAAGATGGAGCTGCGACAGGACACACTGTTTGGGTTGTAAGGATCACATGAGACAGCAAGATGTGCACTGATGGCGGCTCACAGTTACCAGTGTCATCTGGGCACTCTCAGGACTTGGACGCTCTCTAACCTACGGTGGAACTCCTCTCCTCTTCCGTTTGTGTCTTGAGTTTTCCTTTCCCGTTTTCTCATCCAGTGCTCCCCAAACTGTGAAGTGAGCCCCCCCATATCACACAAGGTGGGGACCGACCTTTTATGTGCCTGGTACACTTAAATGTTGTTGGCCAGAGTCTCCAAGCTCAGTGCCCTGGCCCAGGCACAGTGGGAGGTCATCTGTCAGCACAGTGTCCAGTGCTGCCTCTGTCCGGCTGGCAGGACAGGTGAAGAAGCTGGCCACATCTGAGTGCACAGGCGGGGCTGGCCCTGCTGCCCAGCTGTCGGTCGCATTTCTGCCTGAAACACAATCCTGGCTTTGGAGAGGCTGCCGGGGACTGTGCATATCCATGTGGCCATCACCCCCTGCCCTAGGTAGGATGGAGGCTCCCCCAGGGAAGGACCCAAAGATCAAAGAAGTGCTGCTCCTGGTGCATATGAGAGCCATGGGGGCAGGACGGGGTGTCTAAAAAATACTCATTCCTGGGCCCCACCCCAGACCAGTTAAACATGGATCTCTGAAGCCCAGGCATCAGTATTTTTGAAAAGCTCCCCAAGTGATTCTGTGCTACCAAGTTGAGGATCACTGCTAGAAGAATGAGATGTATGGAAACAAATCAGAAGAGCTGTTCTGTAGTGGAAAGACAGATAGGCTTGAGCCTGGAACACAGAGTGAATTTATGGTGTCTCCATACCAGCTGTGGGAGCTGGGGTGAGTCTCTTGCCCTCTCTGGGCCTCTGATTTGTCTTTTGTGAGATGGGAAGATAAGAGGGATGTTGTGAGGAAGAAATAGGGCAGTAAATGTGCCTGGCACATAGCATTTGCCAATTCAGATGCAGGTGTGCAGGGAATGTGGCTGCAGGCTGAGGTGCCAAGGGGGCCATGTGGAGCCTGGAGACCCTAAGCCATTGCTGCAGTCAGGCTAGTGGTATGACACCCCTCAGCCTTCGAGGAGATTGGCAGACACATAGTTTAAGAAGTGCAATTCCCTTTGGGCTGGGGTTGGGGCTGGTCTGGGAAGGCTTCCTATAGATCTCTGGCTTGTGGATCCTTTTAGCTCCTAGCAGGGCATGTCATGTGTCAGGTGTGTTATCCCCACCCTCATCCCCACCCCAGTGATGATGATGGTAATAGTTGGAGCACAGAGAGGTTTAAGCAGCAAGTCCAATGCCACACAGCCAGTAAGCTGAGACGGGCACCCAGGCTGTCCACCTCCCAGTCTGGCGCTTGCTTAATGAATGTCACACTGGTCCAGTGGTTAAGAACAGAGAAGAGGCTTGCTCCTGGGAGCCTGGGGCCCACCTCCCCTCTGCTGCACCCCAACTTTTCACCCCTCAAGCTCCTGAGACTGCCAGAGCCTGACCACAAGCCCCATAACTTAAAGGCAGAGGAAGACTGAGTCAGTCTCCATATGGGGAGATGGAAGCAGCCGGGCCAACCAGGCCCTTCTGGAAATGAGGCTGGGCCAGTGGCTGAGGCTGGTCCGTCTGCCCGGCCCTGGGCTCGGTGGCAGCGCCTGGGTTTGCCCGAGGGGCAAGGAATGGAGCTGAATTTGAGGAAAAGTTGGCGGGGGGCGGGCCGGGCTGGCCAGCCGCTGGCGCTGGGACTTTCTTCTTGGGTTTCAAGTAAACAGTCTGGGCCCTCCTCCCCTGCTCTGCCTCCACCCCCAGCTCCTCATTCGACGGGTCTCATGTGTTTCTATTTAAGGGTTGCGAGTAAACCCCAGTGATTGGCGGCCTCCAACCCTCTTGACTCCTCGCCTGGGCCTGGGCTGTGGAGAAGTTCTCTCCCGCTCTTGCCTCTCCCTCTCCCGCCCGAGGGGAGCAGGGCTGCCTTTTCTCTGGGGCTCACAGGGCTGGGGGGTCGAAGCAGGAGCCTCCTCCTCGCTCACCTTTCTCTCTCCTGCTCTCTGGCCTCAGCCTCCATGGGCACTTGCGACCCTCCCCTCACGCCCCTGCTGGCAGCCAAATGGCCTGGAGAGACCACGTCGGCCCCAGGCCTCTCCTCGGACTCCCTCTCCCTGGGCTGTGACTAACTCATCGCAGCAGCAGCCTTTTCCTGACTCTGCTTGGCCTCTGTCTGCCTCTGTCTCTCTCCTCCCCCTCCTCCTCTGTCCCCTCCCTGGCCCCCGGCTCCCCATGTCCCCCGGTCCCCGCGGTGCAGGGGCCGGTGTGGGGCCTTGCTATATGGCCTGTCCTTGGGGCCTGGCGAGCTGCGAGCTCTGGCTGCGGGTTGCCCCTCGGAGCGGCGCTGGCGACGGAACAGCCTCCCACGAGGAGGCCGATGGACAGGGGGCGCCCCGGCCGCGGGGCCATGGCTGGCCGCTGGCTCACCGCGTGCTTTCTGCCCTCGCCAGGTGCCGACAGCAACGCCGAGCCCATGATCCTGGAGCAGTATGTGGTGGTGTCCAACTATAAGAAGCAGGAGAACTCGGAGCTGAGCCTCCAGGCCGGGGAGGTGGTGGATGTTATCGAGAAGAATGAAAGTGGTGAGTGGCCGGCCGGCTGGCCACTTGGGCCCCGGCCCAGCTCTTTGGCTGCACTGGGTTTTGTTCCCTTCCTCCTCCCCCACCTCTGCAGCTATACGTTATTTCCATCTGGCAGGGAGAGGGCTGAGTAGGCTGAAGTTTCCCCCTGTTGGTTTGGGCTGCAGGCCAGAAGTTTGCCTGGTGGTGGAAGAATGTCTCCCCAGCTCAGGGATAATTAACCGGCCTGTGTTAATGCATGGCCAGGGTGGCAGCCGCAGGGATAAGCGTCTAGCCCCTGCTCAGGGTCCCCATGTCTTCTGAGGCCCATGGGGAAGGTAGCTTCCAGCTCAGGGGTGCTCAACAACAGCTTCCCCTCTTGGAGCCATATTCCAAGGCAGGGTCCAAGCAGGGGCAGGAGAATTTGGCCAGATGGTGGGGAAGGCAGACTGTGATGTCACTGTGAGGTCCAGGGTCCCCAGGCCCCTGGTGAGTTATTTGAGGAAGGGCCAGGACTGTGGGAGCTGGCTAGTGTCTGGGTGGTATGCTGACCACCCCCTGCTGAGTTGGAGGCTGCCAGGACCTGGAAAGAGGCCCAGATGGGGGTGAAGCCAGGCTCCGGGCCAGGGGGCCCTGCAGCGTCCATTCTGTCACTAGGAGCCAGCACAGGGGCCATGCTGATGGCTGCCCAGGGGCTGCCGGTTCCAAGGTTCTTGCAAAGTGGGCCAGTGTACCTTGGTGTAGTTAGCAGCAGGAGTCATACATAGCAGGTGGGGAGAGGAGAGCCCAAGTCTGTCAGTGCTGGGGTGTGGGCCCATCAGCCCCTGCAGAGCCAGGGATGGGGCTTGATCCCGGCATGTCCATCAGCAGGTTGCCCACAGCCTGTTAGGTCTTGAATCAGTTCCTGGGGTGTTTTGTTTCCATTTTGATTTGCTGTGGGGAAGGCACAGGAGCCTCCCTAGACTGTATTTGGTGGACACTTCCAGAGGGAAGGGCCTGTTCTCTCCTAGTTTCACTCCGTTCTCTTCTAGTTATTTGAATCCTGAAAGGAAGGCAAACCGAAGGACCACTGTGCCCATTCTGTAAATAGAATAACTGAGGCACAGAGAGACTGAGGGGAAGTAAGTTCGCTGAGGTTGAAGGCAGAACTGGGGTGTTCTTGGGCTCCTCATTGCTAGGCGTCTGGGTGGCAGCAGCTGTGGGGATGCCAAGGAAACCCCAGCAGTCTCCCGGGGGCTTCTGCCACAGGCAGCTCCCTGAGAATGGGGCCAAGATGCAAGCATAGGCCTGACTCATGGCCCTCCTGGCCTGGGGTCTTCTCAGCCTGTCCCCTCTCAGACAGGTTAGGCTCTGCCCTTGTGCCTGGAGTCATAGCCAGAGTGATCAGCAGCAGCTGTCTCCACCTGGCAAAGCCATGTCCCAGGTACCCACAGTGATGACCTTCCTGCACAGTGTTGCCCTCAACTGTTGTCATACTACCAGCCCCACCTGACCCCTCCCCCACTGCAGAGAAGCTGACATTATCCTGGGGGCTGGCTCTGGAAACCCTAAGCACCTTGAGAACCAGAGGAAGGATCTCTAGTGGCAGAATGGGAGACACCAGGTGGGGGAGATGTTTGTTTTGTAGCTTGCACCAAGGAAAGACAAGGCCCATTTCTCTGTATAAGGTCAGTTCTTAGAAGTCCTGGCTTAGGCACTTCTCAGCACCTACCTGCCTAGTCTCCCACCACAGCTGTATACCCCTGGAGCAGTAGGAAGTAGTAAGCCCCTGTGTCTTTGGGGGTCAATCACTGGCCAGGCTGCCAAAGAGTTGACACCACATTAAAGGAAGTCCATCCTGCTTTAAGCCTTCATGATTCCCAGGGGTGTGTGTGCCCTCCCCTTCCCATTTTATATCTAGGATCCTGGGAATACCTGGAGTCCTGCCTAGGAGTAGGGGCAGTATAGCCTTGAAAAAGCGAGAGTCTGTGTTAGGCCTAGAAAAGATGTGGAGACAACTCCTCTCCTGAGGAGTTCCCGATGGCTGTTGGAGGTGGCCCAAGCACCCTGACTCCCCATTGCCACCTGTGGCCAGAGGAGCCCAGCCTGGCACACAGACCCGATGATGGAGCTGCTGTTCTTAGAAGCAGGATTCTACCTACTACCTGTTGGCTGGATGGCCTCAGGTCCTTTGACTTCTCTGCACCTCAGTTATCCCTTCTAATAAAATGGAGGTAACCTTGTGGCTGCTGGGAAGCAGGGGCTGGAGCAAATGACCTCCCTGAGCCCTCTGCCAGGTCTGAACTCCATGGCTGGGTAATTCACTAGGGCCCTGGGAGTCAGGTGGAGAAAGCCTTCCCGAACATGCTTTTCTATTTCTCTGAGAGTTTTGTATCTTTACTCTTGGTGGAGATAGCTGCTCAGCTGGAGATGTTTGCACAGGGACCTGGAGTGCTGTGCCCGCCCATGCACTATCTGAACCTACCCTATCTGCCACCATCGGAGACCAGGAGGGCTGGAATGTACAATCAGCTTAACCAGAGAAACTAAGTGGGTGGAGGGGAGAAAGGAAGAGGGCCAAACTGCAGGTCCTCGGGAGGGTGGTGTCCCACTTCAGGGAAGGTGGAGGCCTGACGGCGGGGGAGAGGAGGCGTGTTGTGCATCCTGCAAGCTGGCTTTGGAAGGAGTGGTGAGTGAGGCTTTTGAACTCTGGAACAAAGACCCAATTGTGATGCCTTTGACACTGGGATGTGGTGGGCGTGTTGAGGCATTTCCACTCACATTGTTGGGGCAGCATCCCCAGTCAGCACCATTCCTGCCTCCCGGGGCCTCCCAGGGCCTTGCCTTGCCCACTGGGTGTCAGGACACTGCCTCTGTGCCCTCTCACTCATCTGGGAGTCCCTCAAGTAGAGTAATAGAGGCATCCAGCTACCTTTGGCTCTGCCTGCTTATCAGAGCCACCAAGCCATTTGGAGGTGTGGGCATGATAACACTCTGTCTCTCATTGGTCTGAAGAGAGATGTATCTGGAAGGCGATTCTGAATCAGCAAACAGTAAATGCCAAGTACCAGGCCACGCACTTCAGATGCATCATTCTACTGGAATCATGAAACAACCCCACATGGTAGAAGGCACTTTAACTGTTTTGTGGCTGAAATAGCAGGCTAAGAGGTTAAGAGATTTCCTTAAAGTTCAGTGGCTGAGATCCCTCTTCTCTACAGAGGCCATGGGAGAGGCTGAGAATGGGCTGATCCTAGGTGGGAGGTGGCAGAAGCCCAAGTTGGTGATGGTGTGAGAGAGACAAGGGCTGGCTGAGATGACTGCAGAGCTTCCTGAAACACCCTGTAGAAGGATGTCTCTGTGTTCCCTCCTTCCTGCATGGCACTCATAGGCTGTGAGAATTCACATTATTACTTGATTCTTTGAACTTGGGAGACAGACGACAGCTGATCTGAGTAGGGGACTGTTTACCCAGCACTGAGGATAAGCTTATCCCAGGGAACAAAAGGCAAAGACACCCAAAGTAAGACAGGAGTGGCTTTAGGGAAAGCATTTTTGATAAATCAGTAGGCCTGGGTCCAGCTAGAAAAGGATTCTTTTTCTCCATAGATCAATAGGGACACATATAGCAGAAAGATTCAACAGCTTTGGTGGCTTTGTCACCCTCAGGCCATGCCAGAGCATGCAGCAGCTGATGCTGCTTTGTCTTTGGAAACCCCTCCACCCTTAACATTAGCAACAGTGACTGAGATACCTCCTCTGAAGGACACTTTTGTGCCTCAAAACCCACAATGGCTTCACCCTCCAGCAGGCATTATTTGGTCTAACTTCTGGCGGAGGGGTGATGTCAGTGTCCTGGTTGCTCTGATTCTGTGTTGAGCAAAACTGCCTCCAACTTTCCAGGATTGTTTCCTTCCTCTTAGGATGACAGGCCAGGGGAGGAAGTGGGGAGATGAGTCAACAGAATTTTTCCTGCCTCAGCTTTCCTTCTCCGAGTCTTTGCTTGTTTTCTGGCACCAGCATGATACACTGGGAGTTCTTATACTTCCTTGGAAACAAGGAATTTTGAGCTCCTATGGTCCATCCACTTATTTTACAGGCAAGAAAACTGAGTCTTGGAGAGAGTTTGAGAATCTTCACCCCCCTCCAAAGTCAATACTTTAGTCCCAATTGAGTTATGAGCAGAGGACAGAACTTCACTTAGACTTGCTGAAGAGACGATGGATAGGATGCAGGAAAATCTCACCAAACACAAAGGTGAGAAGTAAATCCCAGGACTGGGAACCAGAAAGTTGGCATGCGCCAAAGCAGCTATTCTCGTCTGCATCTCTCTCCTGGACAGAACTTCACTTAGACTTGCTGAAGAGACGATGGATAGGATGCAGGAAAATCTCACCAAACACAAAGGTGAGAAGTAAATCCCAGCCTCCAGAGGCTGGGACTGGGAACCAGAAAGTTGGCATGCGCCAAAGCAGCTATTCTCGTCTGCATCTCTCTCCTGCATACCACGTGGATTGAAAGCACAGCTATGCTCTTCTCCTAACTACAGACCAGAATTCCTTTGCTTCTGTTCACCCATGACAGCAGCTGGTTTGCATGGTGTTGGTTTGTCAGGACCAGGCTTTGTATGACTTTTCCATTGAGATAGCTGCCAACAACTGACTGTGGCCTCTGGGTCTCTGGCAGACCAGAATTCCTTTGCTTCTGTTCACCCATGACAGCAGCTGGTTTGCATGGTGTTGGTTTGTCAGGACCAAGCTTTGTATGACTTTTCCATTGAGATAGCTGCCAACAACTGACTGTGGCCTCTGGGTCTCTGAATTCATAATTTGAAGTTTGATTCTGATTGGTTCCTGGCAAGCCAATGGATTGAGAAAACTTAGATCAGGTGTCCAGCCCTGGTCCAGTCAGCTGTGTCCAGGAGAAGCATCACAGGGCATAAACATGACTACCTAGCCAACCTCTTCAGCCATGGCTACTGGAGGGAAGGTTTTAAGGAAGGTAGATATTGTGGGGACACAGTACCCAAAAACATGTGGCTGCAC